AAGTCAACAGCAACTTTACTAATCCAAGCAACAGTATTGAATCAGGGTGATGCAGGGAGGGGATTGGAATCCACAATGTCCAAACAGCAGTTGCACCAGTGCTTATTTCTGGTATTCTCCGATATCAATGAATACAAGAACAAAACCCAAATTGGCACAATGCTTTTCTAAGAATATCCTTTACATCTTTGTTCCTTAGGCTGTATATGAAGGGATTAGCCATTGGAGTTAGGATTGTGTACAAGAAGGAGAAAACCTTATTTAGATCTTTGAATTTACCACTTGTTGGTAAGATGTAGACAAAGGTTAAAGATCCATAGAAAACCGAAACAACAGTGAGATGAGAAGAGCAAGTAGAAAAGGCCTTTTGCCTCCCAGTCACAGAAGGGATTTTTAGGATTGTACTGATGATAAAAATGTAAGATGTTACAGTTATGAGAAATGTGGGTAGAATTCCGATGGATGATGTTATGAATGCTGCAGTTTCAATAACCCGGGTATCACTGCAAGACAGTCTTACTACAGGTGTAAAATCACAAAAGAAATGGTCAATTTGATATTGACTGCAGAAAGTGAGCTGGGTCAACAAAGATGTTAAGATGGTTATAAGCAGCGACCCAATTAACCAGGAGACTGAAACCAGCAGGATGCATGTTCTGTTGTCCATAAGCGTGACATAATGCAATGGTCTACATATGGCTAGGTAGCGATCATATGACATCACTGCCAAGAGGTAACATTCAGTAGCTCCCAAGGTGGAAAATATATGCATCTGTAGAATGCAGCCTACAAAAGAAATGGTTTTGTCCCCTGTAAGAAAACTGTTCAGCATTCTTGGTAAGATAGTCGAGGTGTAGCATATCTCCACGAAGGACAAATTTGACAGAAAGAAATACATGGGAGTGTGAAGGTGCTGCTCAGCCATGACAAGTACAACTATGAGGAGATTACCAGACAGAGTCACAATATAGATGACTAGAAATAACAAAAAGAGGAGTATATTCAAGTTCTCAACATTCCTAAATCCCAGGAGAATGATTTCGGTGATACCTGTTCCATTTTGCCATTCTGAGTTTTTCAAATGCTGCATCTATAGATAGGAAGTAATATACTGAGTAATTGAAAAAATAGGTTTCTACCCACCCCCATCCCCACACAAGATTTAAGCAACCATCACTCAACACGCATACACCATTGTGCCATATACACATCTTTTTTAGCAGGGCCATTTTAAATCAGCACTTGCATTGGTTTTGCTGCATCTCTTGACAAGTTGCTATGTAATATGTTTGTTCACTTCTCATGGGCTGCATAAAATCTGCAGAAAATTCTTGACTCCGAAGATGGGCACTTTCAAACTGCCATTATTTGGGGGTAGGATTCAAATTCAGGGTGCAAAAGTAAAAAAGAAAGAAATGGCTTGTGCTGTTGTGCAACATATCTGGCTCCCCACAAATCCACAATAAGGGGAACTGCTCTTAAATGTGTGGAATACCAATTGCAACATTGTGTAACTTCCCTGATGCTGTCTATCCTCTCTGCAAACTTTGTGCAAAGCAATCAAGATGACTCTTGGTTCTAAGTCATCTAGAAGCAACTTAAGACATGTGTAAACAGGTGTGCACTTCATAGGAAATATAGATAAGTTGGATGGGTGTAAGGTGTAAAACAGCCATAGGCAAACTCCGGCCCTCCAGATGTTTTAGAACTACAATTCCCATCACCCCTGACCACTGGTCTTGTTAGCTAGGGATGATGGAAATTGTAGTTCCAAAACATCTGGGGGGCCAGAGTTTGCCTATGTGTGGTGTAAAAGAAAAAGGAGGTGTGTGCAATGTAAGGAAGATTCATGATAGAAGTTTTGACCCAATGTTAGTCTAAATGTTTTGGCTGCTGATTATTATCCCCTCCTTTTTTAAAAAAAAATCATAGCCTCAGTTCCTTTAAACTAGAAATCTAACCTGCAATGTGGTGAAAAGAGCAGGTAGATAGTAGCTTTTGCCATGGATGGGATTTTCAGGTCTGTGCTGCTGTCGAAAATAAAAGGTATCACAGTTTCAAGAAAAATAGACAGAATTCCTGTGGCTGGTGCTGTAGTTTCAATTACCCAGGTGTAATGGCAAGGACGTTTCACCATGGGTGCAAAACTGCAAAATAAATGGTTTTATATTGGCTGCAGAAAGGGAGTCATGTCTTCTACAACTAACAAATAATATACTGAGTCAAGGACTCTTACGGAATTAGTCAACTGCAATCCAAAACATAGGTGTTCATGTCCGATACTGTATCCATCTTTTGAACAATGTTGTTTGGTATTTTTTAAAAATGCATAATTGAGTTCCTTTCTCATAAACAGTGGAAAACATAATAGAATCAAAATAAGAATTATGAAAGCATGATAATCATGGGAGAACATGGGGTGCATTGCAGGGAAGAGCAGTAATAATGGGGACAGCTGGATTTCAGGAAAACATGCCAAACATTGCTGCTCTTCTCATTAAAGATTGTTCCCACTGAGGAATCTTCAATAAGATCCTAAATGAGTCAAAAATCCCTGGAAGGAGTAGAATTTTTAAAAATCTACTTTAAGCAATTTACCTAAAATCTGAGTGTACCTGCTTTTTCACATCCATTTCTAGAAGGTTCTTTCTTTCATGATAGTTGTAAGTCCAAGTGATGTCTTTCTGGCTTACCCATTGATCTGTCCAAACTATTAAGAAGAAGGCTACGAAACACTGAATATATTCATTTGTATTTATATTTGTATCTGCACAGTCTCACAGACACATTCTCTCTCATATTCCAGGTTAATTGCATTATTCCTTTATTCTCAGTGGGGAAAGCCAAGCAGAACACAAAAGCCCCAAAGAGCCATTGTTGATTGCAAATGAAGTTTCTATTCAAGGAAGACTATTGGTCAGGTAAGAGAGAGAGGCAGAGCATAAACACTGAGGATGAAAGAATGAACAGATATCATCTTATTATTTCTCTCACATATTTAAAATGGCAGCCCGCCAGTCAGGAGAACCAATGTTATCATAATCTAACTATGCCTAATTTTCACAGAAATATAAAATAACATGGTAGACCTATTTCTGGACTGTGTGTCCTCAGACTTCAGGTGAGGGCTCACATGACTGTTCAAGCCAAATATCACCTGCTATCTATATTCATGAAGGGTGGGATATAAACATTATTAATAGAAATGTCCATCTATAGATAGAGATACATTCTCTGAGCACAGAAATTTAATTAAGAATGAGCCAAAACATATCCAACCCAATTAGTTTCCACCTTTGTACGTGGCAAAAATGGCACACCCATTTTGGACTTTTTGTTCAGGGATTAGAAATAAGCTTCTAGAACACTAGCTTGGCTTCCCAGTGGCACTGACGATGGTGCTCCTCACAGTTGCTAATCCATGGGATGTTGCTATATGGTGAATGCCATTGTTCTGAGACGGCTCTTTCTGTGAGGGGTACTGCAGCATTTTGAAGTTGCAAGAAGCCCCAATAAACATAGTGGTGCACAGCATCCATTGATAGAAATGTTTCTGCCTCCAGTCAGAAAAGTGACCAGTATCTTTGGCATGAGAGTTGAGCTATAGCAAGTCTCCAGACAGGAGAGATTTCCCAGGAAGAAATACATGAGTGTGTGAAGAAGCTGATCAAGAATCGCTAGAATAATAATGAGGATGTTTCCAGCTGCGATTATATAGGTAGAAACAATATAGAAAATAAAACTCACATATCTTCATTATTAAAGTACAAGAGGATGAATGTTATGGACTCTGTTTTATTTCTTTGTTTCTTATTGCTTTTCAGTTGCATCTAAATAAATCAGATGATATCTAGAAAAAATAAAGACTTGAATATTTGATGCTGAAATCACTGTAATTCATAGGGTAATATAAATGACATATCAAAAGATTTTTGTTTTCAAGTAACCCATTTTAAAGAGACATACAAAATTATGCTTTTACACTTTCATCAGTTCTCATTTTAATAAGATGCCTTGAGTCCCATCAAGGAAAAAGACAGGGTATAAATAAATAAATAAATAAATAATAAATAATAGAATAATAGCTTTTCACCACAAGAATGAGTTTCAAAGATTTACTGGAAACAGCCTTAAAATATTTACAAAGAAACAATACAAAATACAAAGTAATGCATTGCTCTTTAACAGCAGTTGAGGAGAGTGAAGTGAGCTTCAGTCTATTTTAAGCTGATGCTGAGGCCTTACCTGGGTGATCAAAGTTTGTTCCAACACGAATCACATGGTTGCCCTTGTTTTTAGATCAAAACAACTACTGTAATCCTAAGTGGACAGCATTCAGTCTAAAATTGCTGCTAAGTATTGGAATAACTGTCAAATTGTGATTTTATGGGTATATGATTATTTAAAACCATTCAGTCAATAGTTATCTTGTTTAAGGCATACAATATTGTATAATGCATTTTATACAATTTTTCAATACATTGTGATCATATATAATATACACATTCAGCAAATCAATATACAAGGTTTTTGAGATATATAAAACATAACAGCACATAGACAGTATCCATTAACAGCAAAATAAGAGTAGAGGCATATTCATCATGGTTTGTATCCATCTAAGAGCAGATCCACACCGAACATTCAAAACGCATCCAAAGTACACTTAAAGCACATGGTTTCTGCCAGAAAATTCTGGGAAATGTATTTATTAAAAATGCAGAGAATTGTATCTCTGTAAATGGAAAAATGCAGTTCCCAAGGCTCTTTGGGGAAAAACATGTACCTTAAATATATGATATGGGTCGGCCCTTAGTCACAATCATAGCAGACCTATTAAAATTGATGGATTTAATTAGTCTTGTCCATGGATTTCAATGTATCTGTGACTTAGTTGGATTCAAACCCATTCATATAATTAAACACACAGACGTGAATAACAGATCTCTGTGACCTTCAATAACAGTTACACCAGTCTTTATTTCTGGTATTCTCCGATATCAATGAATACAAGAAAAAAACCCAAATTGGCACAATGCTTTTCTAAGGGTGTCCTTTACATCTTTGTTCCTTAGGCTGTATATGAAAGGATTGGCCACTGGAGTTAGGATTGTGTACAAGAAGGAGAAAACCTTATTTAGTTCTTTGAATTTACCAGTTGTTGGTAAGATGTAGACAAACATTAAAGATCCATAGAAAACCGAAACAACAGTGAGATGAGAAGAGCAAGTGGAAAAGGCCTTTTGCCTCCCAGTCATAGATGGGATTTTTAGGATTGTACTGATGATAAAAATGTAAGATGTTACAGTTATGAGAAATGTGGGTAGAATTCCGATGGATGATGTTATGAAAGCAGCCGTTTCAATAACCCAGGTGTCACTGCAAGACAGTCTTACTACAGGTGTAAAATCACAAAAGAAATGGTCAATTTGATATTGACTGCAGAAAGTGAGCTGGGTCAACAAAGATGTTAAGATGGTTATAAGCAGCGACCCAATTAACCAGGATACTGAAACCAGCAGGATGCATGTTCTGTTGTCCATAAGTGTGACATAATGCAATGGTCTACATATGGCTAGGTAGCGATCATATGACATCACTGCCAAGAGGTAACATTCAGTAGCTGCCAGGGTGGAAAATATATGCATCTGTAGGATGCAGCCCACAAAAGAAATGGTTTTGTCTCCTGTAAGAAAACTGTTCAGCATTCTGGGTAAGATATTTGAGGTGTAGCATATCTCCACAAAGGACAAATTGGACAGAAAGAAATACATGGGAGTGTGAAGGTGCTGCTCAGCCATGACAAGTGCAACTATGAGGAGATTACCAGACAGAGTCACAATATAGATGACTAGAAATAACAAAAAGAGGAGTATATTCAAGTTCTCAACATTCCTAAATCCAAGGAGAAGAAATTCGGTGATACCTGTTATGTTTTGCCATTCTGAGTTTTTCAAATGCCGCATCTATAGATAGGAAGTAATATACTGAGTAATTGAAAAAATAGGTTTCCACCCCCATCCCCACACAAGAATTAAGCAGCCATCACTCAACACACATACACCATTGTGCCATATACACGTAATTGAAGAAATTGAAAAATTAGGTTCCCCCCATCCCCACACAAGAATTAAGCAACCATCATTCAACACACATACCCCAGTGCTTGCATTGTTTTTGCTGCATCTATTAACAAGTTGCTATGTAGTGTGTTTGTTCACTTCTCATGAGCTGCAGAAAATCCTTGACTCAGAAGAAGGGCACTGTCAAGCTGCCACTATTCAGGAGGAGGTTCAATCACAGACAGGCAAATTCAGGGTGCAAAAGTGAAAAAGAAAATTGGTTGTGCAACAGATCTGCTTCCCTACAAATCCACAATAGGAGGAACTGCACTTAAAAGTGTGGGTAAAAGATAACATACTGAGTCAGAGATCCTTAAAAATTAATTTTAAAAAATGCTCATGTCTGATATCCATATTTTGAACAATGTTGCATGGTATAAAATTTGCAAAATTCTCCCTCTTTTAAGCAGTGGAAAACCTAATTGAATAAAATAAAAAATTATGAAACCCTGTGAATAATGGGAGAGAACTGGGTGCATTCATTGCAAGGTAATCTGTAATAATGGGGAGCTGGCTATCAGGAAAACTTGCTTCTCTTCTCATTAAGGATTGTTCCCATTGAAGAATCATCAACAAGATCCTAAATGAGTCAAAAATCTCTGAAATGAATGTAAAAATGGGGGGGGGTACCTAAAGCAATTTTACCCAAAATCTCAGTGTACCTGCTGCTGAGGGCAACACGTTTTCACATCCATTTCTAGAAAGTTCTTTGTTTCCTGATGTTTGAAAGGCCAGGTAACATCATTGATCTGTTTATACTATTAAGAAGAAGGCTCTGACACACTGAATATATTAATTTGTATTTATATTTGTATCTGCACAGTCTCACAGACACATTCTTTCTCATATTCCAGGTTGATTACACCATTCTTTTATTCTCAGTGGGAAAAGCCAAGCAGAACACAAAAGCCCCCAAGAACCATTGTTGACTGCAAATGAAGTTTCTACCCAAGGGAGACCACTGGTCAGGTGGGAGAGAGAGGCAGAGCATAAACATAGAGAATGAAAGAATGAACAGATATCATCTCATTATTTCTCTCACATGTTTGAAATGGCAGTCCTTCAGCCAGGAGAACTGATCTTATCATAATATAACTTACACCTAGTTCTCACATAAATATAAAATGAAATGGTAAATCTATTTTTAGACTGTTTCACCCCAAATATCAAGTCTGGACTCACATGAAAGCATTCCAGATCCCACCTGCTTTCTTTATTCATGAAGGGTTGTATATAAACATTGTTGTTGTTGTTGTTGTTGTTGTTGTTGTTATATAAACATTATTAATAAATAAGTTTATCTATAGAAATACATTCTCTGATCACAGAAATTTAGCATGTAAAGTAGAAACATATAATTAAGAGCCAAAACATATCCACCCCAATTAGTTTCCACATTTGTACGTGGCAAAACTGGAACACCCATTTCATATATTTTTGGGGTGATGTTTTCCTCACAGAACTAATGACTGGTGCTTTTCCATAGAATGATGCTGTATGATGATGGGCATTGCTTTGAGGGGACTCCTAGTGGGAGGGAATCTGGTATCAAGAAACAAGTGTTGGCAAAAACAACCAAAACAAATGCTTGTGTTGAAGTTTCAGAGCAATTTTCACTCCCTTTTATTCATCCCAACTCAGAAAAGAATGAGTTAAACTTTCAGTCTAGTGCATATTAATCTCAGTATAGGTTAACATCTCACTATTTTGCTTGACAGCCCAGTTTTCTGTGTGCATGGAATTTATATTGTATTATTGAACATTGTGTCATTTGTGACTACTCCTGCTGTTTAGGCTGGCATAGTCCAGAAATGGCTTTACTGTCTTCTCAGTAAGGAGTGGGCTTGAAGGAGAGATTGTGAAAGTCATACTAGTGGCTGGCATGTGAGAGGATTTGAGTCCTACTGTCAGTTGAGGCTTACTTCAGAATTCAGAATAGGGAAAGATGAAAAAATTGATTGGTCTGCTCTTCACAATGAAAATATTTTGTGTTTCAAATGTGATTGTGGATAAGAATGCAACTCACATGCTTCTCTAGATTTTGCAGCGCAGTTTCAATGAGAAAAAGCATATGCAAAAGATCCTTACCTGATTAAGATTTCAACTAAATACATCATGTGGATATAATAGAAGACAATGAAAAACATTGAAATAATTAAATCTATGTTAATGAAGCATCCTCATCGTCCCCCACATTATCCTCAATCTTAATGAATTCTATGAATCATCTTAAATAAAGTATTCTTTATTGCTTCCTTCACTTCTTTGTTCCTCAAACTGTACACAAGAGGATTGACCAGTGGGGTGAGCAAAGTATAGAATAGAGAGAATACTTTCTTCAACTCACTCAGATAACTCTTGTTTGGTAATACATAGACTATCATCAGGGAGCCATAGAAGCAAGCAACCACGGTCAGGTGAGAGGAACATGTAGAAAATGCTTTTTGTTTCCCAGTGGTGGATGGGATCCTTAAAATGCTCTTGATAATACAAACATAAGATGCCATGGTTATTAAAAGAGGGGGCAGAGTGCCTATGGAGGAGAAAATGAAGGCTGTCATTTCAGCCACTTTGGTGTCATTACAGGAAAGTCTTATCATTGGGGTGAAATCACAGAAGAAATGGTTTATTTTGTTGGCCTCACAGAAACTCAGGTGAGATACCAAGAATATCATGACATTGATAGGTAGTGACCCACTGATCCATGATCCAGCAATCAGCAGAAAGCAAATTCTTCCATTCATGAGTATTGCATAATGCAACGGCTTACATATTGCTAAGTAACGATCATAAGACATCACTGCTAGAAAGTAACATTCTGTAGTTGCAAGTAGCCCAAAGAAATATAGCTGTGCAAAACATCCATTAATAGAAATGGTTCTGTCTCCAGTCAGAAAACTGACCAGCATCCTTGGCATGACAGTTGAGCTGTAACAAGTCTCCAGGCATGACAGGTTTCCCAGGAAGAAATACATGGGTGTGTGAAGATGCTGATCAAGAATCACTAGAATAATAATGAGGATGTTTCCAGCCATGGTTGCAAGGTAGATTGGTAGAAACAGTATGAAAAGTAGTATCGGTACATCATCACTATTGAAGTCCAGGAGAATAAATGCCACAGGGGCTGTCTGATTTCCTTCTTCTCGTTTCATGTTGAGGTGTATCTAAATAACATCAGGCAGTGTTAATAAAGCTTTGCACTTGTAGAACTGATGCAGGAGTTTCTTTAACTCAGCTGAGCAAACCACATTATATATAGGTTAAATAAACAATTCTTCTATATTATGAAGTTGACATTCAAATGAGCACAACATGTAATTATTTGCTAAGACTGTATTCCTGTCAATGCATAGAAACTTTGCAGGTGGGATCACATTAGAAGAGAAAAGTCTCCCTGTTTCTACTCAGCACCTATTGAGGGTGATTTCATTTCATTTATTTTACAAAAGAAACACTGCATTTCAATTGCATTCAGTCCTTTAACATTATGTGCAGTTAAAGGCCAAATACAACAATCCAAATAAATTGATGTTTACATTTGAGGATGGGATTTGTGGAAAATTCTCAATGTTCTTTGCTTTCAGTGTTAGTTTCACCAATAAATTGTGTAACTCATTGGTTTCTCAGGGATATTTCTACCAAATATAGCTCACATACATTAGTCAGCAGAACAGATAAAGGGCTGCTTTCAAGTTCATGGTGAGGCAAAACTTATGTGAATGCTATGCATCAGCTGCTTCAATTTCTATGCTGGCAGCAACTAAAGTAAATAGTATGTTTGTATGGATAATTTCAATAAAGGAGCTTACATAGCTCATCTGTGCATGTTCTGTTTTAAACAATACAGCAGCATGTAAGAGCTCACCAGTATCTAGACACACAAATCCATATGCACATTTAGAGGCATCTTAATTTCTAATATCATGCAGAATTGATCTCATTGGCAAGCAGTTGGCAACAAATATAATGCAGTATGAAATAAAGGAGAGGGTGAAGTTCTGCCAAATGTGTGACCAGGCAGTGACAGCCCCAGCCCCCAGGGACCATAAGGAAAGAATAAAGACTCTGATGATGTTATATGGAATTACAATTAGGCTACAACTTTATTAAACTTCTGAATGTAGGAAGACCTTGGCTTAGGCTGTGGGCGTGTATCCCTCCCAACCCCCCAGCCAGGGGGAGCTGGGGCTCATCAGGGTAAATGGGAATATGGGGGTGCTCTGCGAGACATAAGTGTAGCAGGCAGCCCAGCCCATATTCCCGCATGCAGGGTAGTTTACTGACAACCTTTCAGTGGCCAGTGACACCCATTATATATAGCCCCTTTAAGAGGAGACCCTGGAATTGCCGCTATGGCGGGAGGGGTGAATCACCACTTCACGCCCTCCCCCCATACAGGGAAGAAAAGACTAAAGGATTCCACCCAAGGCCATAACCGCCAAAGTTGTGACGAACTGCTACAGGGAAGACGAAACCTGCCAATGCAGGAAAATTTCTTCCCGGTCCTTCAACAGGAACCAGTCAAAGACCATAGCAGTGCCCGCTAAACAGGAAGAAAAAGTTAACCTGCAAACAAGAGAACATTAAACTAAGGGAGGGTAGAGAGGGTGAATCTCCTAAGCCGACTGCCTGGATACTGTCGGCTCCACCTCCCAGCAATGAAACTTGACTACAGAAGCTGGGCATGAACCTCCAAAGATTAACACTGAGAGGCAGGCCAGTCCCTGTTTGCCAGTAAGTTCCCTGGGAACTGTAGCACCGCGCGCAATCCTGTAAAGGGCTCCCACAATGTAAAGTGTGAGTGCTCACTATCAAACTTAAGAATTGTCTGATAAAAGAGCCTAAATGATTGAAAATGCATACTTGTTCACCAACAGACTCAAAAACTACTTGGAACACCTCCAGATGACCTATTTGTTGAGTATTCATCCTAATTTGTTTGCATATAGTTTATTCAGGGTTGGATTTATTGAGCATTTGTTCTTATTTGTTTGTCAGGCTGTAATAAAACAATGAATGTTCACCTTGATTTCCTGTTAATAATTAATTCATCCCAAATATTGGTGTATTACTCCATTGTCGGTCAAACTGCAAAACCAGTTGAAAACCGTAGAACCCAATGTCAGTTTTCATGATGTTTCTGCATCTTGAAAGTGAGTATTTCTGATTACATTCTCTCTGTGCATCCATTTAATGAATGAACAGCTACAAGGGCTTGTGTGTCTCTGTGCACACGTGTGTGTGTGTGTGTGTGTGTGTGTGTGTGAGAGAGAGAGAGAGAGAGAGAGAGAGAGAGAGAGAGCGCACTGCAAAGATGATAAACAAAATGTGAAAAAGAGAAATATGAAAACTGTAGTCAGTCACTATGATTATTACATGACATTCCTGTGACTGGAGTCAAGATTATGCCTGAGCATGATCTGCTGGCTAGTCTTGCTGCTATTGATGCTGCTGCAGTCTCACACCTCTCCTGCCTCTAGCATTGAGTTTCTGGTTCCTATGTTTGTGTGTTAGAGCAGTCTGAGATATTACCTGTTTTCATCCTGATGCTCTGCCAAATAAAACTATTTAATTAAACAGCTGAAATCTAAATAGGAATTGAAAAATAAATATAAAAGAATACTTCACCCAGGCTGTGATCAGGTCACAGGCAAAGAGTGTTCAGGAATCCTGGAGCAAGGGAATAGTTGGACACATAACATAATTTCTGTTGATCTTCATCAGTTGTATGTTAGGTAGAAGCATTATATTAGTGAAACATCATTATATCCAACACTTCAAAGCTTCCTAGGTGTCTCTGACACCTTCAAAATCTTGCCCTATACTGAAAATGTGGATGAATCTTTTGCGAGATCCCTCCCCCTGCATAATACAATTAATCTATAGGTCATATATATATATATATCCAAACCAATTAATAAACCTGAAAAAATCTCAGTAAGAAATGTAAAAGAAGAAGAAAACACTAAAGCCATAAGGGAAATTAATGAGTAAAGTAGAAATTCCTAGCAATCAAGAATCAACAAAGGCAAGAAAAAAATAGAAGACACTCAAGGGAGGGAGAGCAATAAGTGCACTTAAGATAATGAGGGGAAATGTATTATTATGTATGTTTGGGGTGAGTGGGGGGCATATGAATGAAAGAAAGAGATGCGTCTGAGGGGGAAACAAGGGGGTGCATACCCCTAAATATTTTGTGAATCTTTGTACTTTTGTCATTTACTGCATTTATTTTTCCTGATTTGAACTATAAAATGAGAGAACTCCTAAACATTTTTTTAAGGGGGGAAAAGCACTCATGAGGGGTTTCATGTAACTCACCGTGACAGCTTTCCTTGAAGGGTTAAGAGGGAATAAAATGGTCAACAAAAAAGGAATCAGGTAAGCAAAAAGCAAAAACTCACATGAGGAGTCCTCTAGCAATCCAGTAAAGCTCAGGTGGTTAGCAATGTTAGACCAAGGCAGCAACAGCAATCTTTGCTGGTTGTAAGCAAGCAATATTTGTGACATTGCATGGTCATGGGATACATTCACTGAGGCATCCATCCTAGCTTCTGATTTCACAATTCTGTGGCAACATGCCATAGTCTTAACTCTTATCTTAAAATGGCAGGTTGTTCCCCCTTTTCTTTCTTATCATTGAATTATTTAGACATGAAGAAGAAAATTATGTGATCTGGCTGAGAGTGCAACAAATGTGATATTTACATGACCAAAAAATCCAATAAATAGGTCATGAGAATACTGGTAAATTCTATAGCTATTTCCAGATAATTCTATTTTACCAAACAAGTTTTTCTGTAGCTGACTTGTAGCTAAACAAACACTCCGGTTCTGGTGTGGGTGTTGGATGCTTACAGCAGGGAAGGAAAATCTATGGCCCTCCAGGTGTGTCTGCATGACAGCTCCAATAACCCCTGACCTATGCTTATTAGATCTGACAAAAGTTGGAACCTAACAATATCTGGAAGGCAACACTTTTCAATCCTTGGACTCCAGCTACCACACAAGATTATTAACAGAAAGCAGGTGTCATTTGCATACCCAGGCACATGATGCCTGCTACCTGGTGCAGGGTCTCAGTATGAAATAAGACATAGGACATTGATGTTGGGTGGAAATTGGCCACAACTTTTATTGATTGCAGATGGAATAGGCTTTGGCCAAAGTCATTGGGTATGTATCTCGTATCAAGCAGCCCGACTGCTGGTTGATAAGTAGGTGTAGAAAGGGGGGTCACCTGCCAGGGCCACCTTTGGGAAGGTTGCTATGGCCTGTTGGCCCCTGTGTGGGCTCTCAGGCAGAGAGAGCCCCTCCCTGGCCCCTTTACCTGATCAGCTAAGTATACAACCCAATGCCTTAACCGCCCAAATTGTGATGTTTTCTATGAGGTAGGTGAAAATCTACAGACCAGCCAATTTGTCTGCAGGAAAAATCCTCCCTGGCCCTGAATATGGTGACAACATATGCCATAGCAAGGTCCACATTGTCCTGCCCACACATCTTTGGACAGGACTACATACAGATTATATACAAATGGGAGAGTGGGTGGTGAATCCTGTGGTAAGGTTCAAAAGGGGAGAGGCTCAGGGTGTGCCCCCCTGTTTAAGGCACTGCAACGCTGCTCATAGAGGTGACCTGACTGGATAATATTTTTATCTCCCTGAATATCTCTGTGAGTGGTACTGTTAGCCACCAATCCTAGGGGGGGGGGGATTCCAAAACCCAGTGACCCTGATTTCACTGCTCATGAATGGGACAAAGAAATAGAGGTGAGGTTCAACTTAACCCTAGATCATGGCATTGTTTATTATTGTTATGTTTTGATCAGTCTTCTTCCTCATTAATATTTCCTGTGGGATTAGAGTTTTGCTTAAGTCTAACAGGATGCCCCAGTGGTTTTTCTCCTAATTTCCCTTCTTCCTTGGAGACTCTTGTGCCATTGATTATCATGCTTGCAGTTTAAACTCATCCTTACTGAAATTAATAGTCTGTAAATTAACAGGCCATGAGACAGTTGATATTTAAAAGAATTGAAATCATTCCAAAAGACATTTATTTTTTTAGTAACGAACTCTGTTAAATGCTTTAAAGTGGCATGCTGCAATGCTGTGAGGAATCTAATTGGATGTCTTGTCAGCAAACCACAGACTTAATAACTTCTCCAACTGTGAAATCCCAGATTATGGGCAAAGTATAAGGTAGGATGAATAATGAAGGAAAAGATGAAAACTGAGACAGCAGTAATAATATTTATCTTTAATAAATTTTGGAATGGATGAAAATGCAGGACTGGGTCAGCACTGCTTTTAAAATTGTCCCATGTGACAAAAGCAGCAGGAGAAATGAGACATATCTAAATAGATTTATCATTGTTGGAAGTTAAAAGAAAGGTGCAAAAATTAGACACCTTTAAGGTCAACTGGTTCTTTTTCTAGTGGGAGAATTAATCACATTCTTACTTTTTTAAATTTCCCATGGAAATCAAGAGGTCTTTGAACTAATGAATGATGATGCTTATGAGTCCTGCTCTTAAGATCCAGAGTAGGAGAAAGCAGGAGAGACTGGGAAGACCTGCATTCAAGCTCCTATGTATGTATCCCCATTTGCAGGGACAATATTTTTTGGTTATTTCTTCAGGTGGTGGTAATATGTGGAGCTTGTTTTGTTTTGCTTTGCTTTTAGAAGCATAGTTTAGCCTCCTCTCTCGAGAAAGAGTAGTGGTTCTTTTCTGAGTCTGGAGAGCTAACGTTTCTCCATAATGCCTCTTGTCTTTCAAGTAGAGATATTTCCCATTCTGCATCTGTAATGGAATTGTTTCAAACATGTTTTTAATACATTAATTAATTAATTTTATTACTTATGTGTTTGTTGCCCTAGGTGCCTTTAGAAGGAAGGGTGGAATATCACAGCAGCAGCAACAACAACAGCTAAGCTGTAGCACACTGCAGAGAATGTTGCTGTGCATCAGAGAATGTTGCTGTGCATCAGTACCATTCACATCATTGAGTTTTAAGCATTTAACTGTGCTTAAGACTCATTGCTTTGATTGCTCTTCTGAATGGTGAAATTGAAGGCCAACCCATAATATTTGCAATATTGTGTTCCTCTCTTATTTGCACCAGATTATATGTCTGAATATGTTTTACCCAAAGATGCAACTTCTAAGCAGCACCGATAAGGAAAATCAACCTAATGTGACCGAGTTTGTCCTTATAGGATTTAGTAATCTCCGAGAGCTGCAAATTCTTCTCTTCTTGCTTTTTCTGCTTTTCTACATGGTTACCTTGGTTGGGAACATTCTCATTGTCATGCTTGTTATAGCTGATAAACATCTTCATACCCCCATGTACTTCTTCCTTGGGAATTTTTCTGGCCTGGAGACCTGCTATAGTTCTACTATTCTGCCCAAGACTCTGGCCAGCCTTTTAACTGGTGACAGATCTATTCAGTTCAATCTCTGCTTTGTTCAGCACTATTTCTTTGCATCATTTGGGGCAGCTGAGTGCTATCTCTTATCTGTGATGTCCTATGATCGCTATTTAGCTATATGCCGACCCTTGCATTATGCAACCCATATGAATGGTAAGTTCTGTGTGAAGTTAGTTGGTGTCTCTTTCATCAGTGGATTTCTGGCTATTTCCATAACAATAATATTAGTGTCCAGGTTAGCTTTCTGTGGCCCCAATGAAATTAATCATTTCTTTTGTGATGTCTTTCCACTCATAGAATTGTCTTGCAGTGACACTAGTCTTTTGAGGATTTTGATATTCCTTGTTGCTTCTGTATTCACCGTTCCTCCATTTTTGCTGACATTGATATCGTATGCTTCCATTATCACTGCCATATTGAGAATCAAGTCCACCAGTGGCAGACAAAAGGCCTTTTCTACTTGCTCATCTCATCTTATTGTGGTCACAATTTTCTATTCCACAATAGCCATTGTCTATGTGTTACCAAACACTGTCACACTGAGAGACCTTAACAAAGTATTCTCTGTTTTCTATGCTGTCCTGACTCCCATGATAAATCCACTTGTCTACAGCCTGAGAAACAAAGAAGTAAAGAAGGCACTGAAGAGACAGATCCGTCAGTTGCTTGTAGATACATAGCTCAAACAAGATGAATCCATATGTTTTCATGTACCAAATAGGAAATTGGATTTTATCAGACTGTATCACAATAAATAAATAAATAAAAAAAATAAATAAAAAATAAAAAAACACGGCTCAATTTCAAAACCAGTTTATCTTGACACATGGGAAACATTATCCCAATCTTTCACGTGAACGCAGATCTACCCACCATGGAGAAAGTGGAAAGAAATAAGATTCACACACATACTCTCATAATGTTGGGACAGGGGTCATCCAATTAAGTTGAAGGGTGGGTGATTCAGGACAAGTAAAAGGATACACTTTCATACAGCACACAGTTTAACTATAATGGCCATTCACCAATCCAGCAGTGGGCGATGTTTGTGACCCGGTGCAAGGCTCTCCCATCATCCCACAGCCATGCCTTTTTCTTCCTGCCCATTGCCATGTCCCCAACAGCTGTCACGGTGGCCTCTGGGTTCCCACCAAACCCAGATTCAAATTCAGTCAATCTGCAGGGGCCAGGGGCTGGGGTAACAGGAGCAGACTATGCCAAGGGAAATTTCACTCTGGTCCGCTTGTATAAAAGGGGGCCAAAGCAATCAGTGGCATGAATCTACCAACTTATAATGTGGTGATAAAGCATTCATGCTGAATTTACATATCATTTAATATTGACTAGTAATTAACATAGTGACTGTTGCAGAATTAATGAAGTACGCCAGGTAGGCAAACAGTCAGCCAAATCTGAGTGCATCATCCGAGTCCTTTGCCTCTTGTGTTAGAATGCCTGCAAGGTAACATTTCATTCTCAATGGTGGCAGCTTGGGGTTTGGATCCTGAACCCATCAAGGCCATGGCATTCCAAAGTGTAGAAGGGTTACATCCAGTGAAGTCAGCAGTCACTTATGAGTTCCCTGTGACCATTCCTTTCCAGGTACGCCCAGCAAGCATGTATGGATCCTTGGCCACAGTATCTTACTTTTGGCTGGTGTCCACGCAGCTGCAAATCAATGGGGAAACACCTGAGCATCCACCCACAAGTCCGCGTATCCTGGATGGGCCAAAGTGAGATATGTTGGGATTCCCTCATGTGAAAGATGCAGTGTCCATCTGGCTGAGTAGTCCCAGCCATACTGGGTAACTTCAAATCGATAAAAACATAGCAAAACATTGAAAGAGGGATTAGACAAAAAAATGGGATTAGACCCTCCCCTCCAGCATGGAATATTTGTTCATATACCCCCGGGTTTACAGCGGTATATAAATTCAATCAATCAATCAATCAATCAATCAAATACTAGATTTGATGGCTATATGCTAGTTTGCCTCTGAACATCAGTTACTTGGGTTTAGGAGAAGAAGGATGCTACTGCACTTATGCCTTGCTTGTAGGCTTCCCATATTAATCTGGTAATTTGAATGCTGGACTCTGATCTCATTGACCTTGGCTCTCATTATCTTTTTAAGTAATCATACTGTTGCACCCCACCCCAATCTCTGAGCGATGCAAGACTCCAGGGGGGTTCCAAGTGGCTTGCCCAGGGTTTGTGTTTTCTTTTGGAAAATGAGGCATAGCAGAGACTGTGGTGTCATTTATGGTTCATTTATACATATATGTAGCCTGAGTCTAGCCTGATGGAGGGATTCACAGCATTGACACTCCAAGAGGGTCCTATTCCTCTCATAGCTGTAGCCCTGGATTCAAGCAGACATCAGACATCATGCTGCCTTTCAGCCTCCAGCTTTCCTTCTCAGTCACATCGCAGCAAACTCCCATCCTAAATTTGAAATTTCTAACTCACCTCACTCCTAATTCTCTCTACTCTAAGCTGTCTTTACCTGAAGAGTGAGGGACTCTACTCACTTGCCATCCCACAATGGGTTCCTCTGATCCACTGTTCTCTTTGTTACATTCATTAGAAGATGCAGATTCTTCCATACACAGCAAATTTCCTCTGGGATTTCAGATTTTCCCCTTGTGGTTCCAAGGCACTGTTGATGTTGCTGAATACTGTATTAAAATAGGCATCTTGTCCATAGCAAGAGCTATGCAAAGGAATATGTTTAAAAATAGGGAGCGAGCTTTCAAGTCAGTTGTAGTTTTATATCTGTCATTTCCAGATATATAGTTTTTTGGGGGGTGTTATTGGACTGGATCTATGAATTTGAAAGCAACTGGCTTTCCACATGGAAGAAAAAAAAAGACAGTAAGTAAAACCAGTGTGTTAAATATAAATTTTTCTTTTTGGACTGACTTCTACAGTGGAAGTGTGTGCAACATGTGATTAAAGTGATCCACAATATTATTTATTTGGTACAGATGCAAGCAGATGAAACCCCAGAACTGAAAAATCAAACAGCCATCAAGGAATTCATTCTGTTGGGATTCAGTCATCTTCAAAACATGAAAATTATTCTGCTACTAGTTTTTTTCCTGATCTACATCATGACCATGGCTGGGAATGTCCTCATAGTTGTGCTGGTTGTGACTGATCGACACCTTCACACTCCCATGTATTTCTTCTTGGGAAACTTATCTTGCTTGGAGTCCCTGTACACTTCAGCTATATTGCCTAGAATGCTGGCTAGCTTCCTGACAGGAGACAGGACTATTTCAGTCAATGGTTGTTTTGTGCAACATTATATTTTTGCATACCTGGCAGCTGTGGAGTGTTATCTCCTTTCTGCTATGTCCTATGATCGCTATTTAGCGATATGCAAACCTCTCCATTATGCATCCCTAATGGATGGCAAGTTATGCCTGCAAATGGCAGCTGGATCTTGGGTGACTGGCTTTCTCGCTAGTACTACAACAATCATATTGATGTCAAGGTTAGTCTTCTGTGGTCCTAATGAGATTGACCATTTCTTTTGTGACACTTTCCCAGTCATGAAGTTGTCTTGCAGTAACACAGTTCTTTTAAGAATACTGATTTTAATTTTTGTATCTATATTTACCTTTCCTCCATTTACACTAACCTTAATGTCATACGTCTATATCATTACTGCCATTCTGAAGATCCCATCCATTACTGGGAGGCAAAAAGCCTTCTCCACCTGTTCCTCACACCTCACTGTGGTAACCATTTTCTATGGCACAATAGCAGCTGCATATGCCTTACCAGACTCTGCCACCATGGGAGATGTGAACAAAGCCTTTTCTGTCTTTTACACAATCATAACACCTCTGATCAACCCTCTCATATACAGCCTAAGAAACAAGGATGTAAGGGAGTCTCTTCAGAGGTCTGCAGTTGTAGCATGGGTCAGAACTAGGGTAATCGATCATAAAAGAGGATTCTGCAGAATGTGTAAGCAAAGAGATAGGAAAATAATAAGAAGGAAAACGGAAAGTTCTCATGAAAACCATTAAAAATAAGTGTTTACCTATTATAGCACAATAGGGAAATCAATCCTATGTAGTTGGGAAGGTAGAATCTGGGGCAGAAGAACCACCAAATCCAAAATCCTACTGACTTTGTGCCAGTAAGGGTGGAAGGTGGGGTTGACTATGCAATGGTAATTGTAGCAGATATACGTAGCTGGTCTCCTTTTGTTTGGTTTCAGGGGTTTGTCTGATTTGGGGAAGGTGGCATTTGGGTCCAAACACCTGAAATGAAATAATAGGAGAGTAAGTGCAACATTTAGTGATGTATGGAAGTGAGAGCTGGACCATCAAGAAGGCTGATCGCCGAAGAATTGATGCTTTTGAATTGTGGTGCTGGAGGAGACTCTTGAGAGTCCCATGGACTGCAAGAAGATCAAACGTATCCATTCTTAAGGCAATCAGCCCAGAGTGCTCACTGGAAGGACAGATCGTGAAGCTGAGACTCCAATACTCTGGCCACCTCATGAGAAGAGAAGACTCCCTGGAAAAGACCCTGATGTTGGGAAAGATGGAGGGCACAAGGAGAAGGGGACGACAGAGGATGAGATGGTTGGACAGTGTTCTCAAAGCTACGAACATGAGCCTGACCAAACTGCGGGAGGAGTGCCTGGCGTGCTCTGGTCCATGGGGTCACAAAGAGTCGGACACGACTAAACAACACCAACAAGTGCAACATTGTAAAAGGGTTTCCTTTTTTAGGGAATGGGTGTGAAGCAACATACCTATTTTCTTTTCTTTCTCCCCTTCCCTCTTCCTCCTTCCCTTCCCTCTTCCTCCTTCCCTCTAGTATTTGTAGTCATATTTAATATATAGGAATGTAAACAAGAAATACCAATATAAATTAATAATCTCATATATTCATATGGAGACAATAAAATATGGTTTAAATAACATTAAGAATACTTATTCAGTGACCTTGTCTGCTATTATATTTACAGTGTAAAGGGCTGCATAATATCTTGGAATGATAGATTCCAAAAACTATCAAACACATTCTATTTTTCAATAAATTTGTTTCCCCCCCTCCCCTCGTGTTTTAAAGTCAACATATTTGCTAGTAATTTTGGGGTCCTGGCATCAGCTGCAGAGCTTTGTTGGTTGCACTTTTTCTTTCTCGGGGTTGCTCTGATAAGTCCTTCCCCCCAAAAGATTTTATGGATAAATTGCTGCCCTGGAAAAAGCACTGAAATGGCCACCCCAATTTGTTGCAAATGAAGGTGAATTCGATGGCAGGATTTATTCAGTGTTTGTACTCCAGAAACTATAATATCTATAGGTTAAGTTGCATTTTTAATAAGTTTATGAAAAATGGTACTGAACTTCAGAGTTGTACTGTGTGGGAGCCCTCATTAAGCAGTAATTATGGAAACTTTTTTTTCTTTTAGTAAGATTTCAATTTATTCTCCACAACAGCAAACCATGTGTGTTCTCCCATCCACCACAAAAGCCTATGAGTGACTCTTGTGTGTATTTCAAGTATAAAGTCTAAGAGTTGTTGCAAGGAGAATCCCTGATCTGGACCTTGTGCAGAATAGAAATGCTACAAAATAAACTGCAAAAATAAACTAACACATTGTTCTTCAACAACTAGCAATGCGGCCCAGTCTTCTTTAAGTTCTTCATACAGTCCAAGGTCTAGGCTCTCACTGCTCCCAGAGAGAGATCCATACATGCAACTTGTTTGTTCATAACGCTGAGCTGACTGACTTCTTCTCCTGCTGTGAAAATAAAGTGATCTCCAGTTCCAAGAGATGGGGCATCAATTAAATTAGACTGGAAAGAAACCTTCACCCCTCCATGCTTCATCACCTACCTAATGCAAACCTCTGCACAGCATTTCAAATACAATGAATACAACATAACATATTATGAACAATAAACTTAAGTTTTTAACATGACACACTGCCCAATGGACTCTGTGTGCATCAGCATGCTATCCTGACCCTTATGAGTGGCGGGGCCTATGGAATTATTTCATTCTACTCTGCACCAAGCCAGGCCTTTTTGCTTTTTGAAGTACTGTATGTTTAAGGAAGTTTTTAAGGCTATCTGTCAAGTACAATTTAGTTGAGATTCCTGCATTGCAGGGGGTTGGACTAGATGAGCCCTGAGGGCCCTTCCAACTCTACAATTCTATAATTCTAAATGGCTGTTGTAACGTTAAGCACATGATGCTCAGAAAAAACATGCAGTGGAAATATAGCTAACATAGGACAGGTTTTTTTGAAAAAAATGGTTAGCCTTGCCTTCTCCATCCTGCTAACCGCCAGTTGCTCTGGACAACAATTCTTTTCAGCTGACATGTCCCTTGGTCAGGGGTGATAGGAATTATAGTTCAAATCATCTGGAAGGTATCAGGTTGAGAAATGCTGGTTAGCCCATGTGGCTCTATTGGGCTCTGGGAATTCCTCTGACTTGAGGAACTACGTCTATCCATGTGTATGAATCATAGGGATTAGCTGATTCAAGGAGCAATTTATGACTGGGCATTGGGATATTTAGCCCCAGGCCTCTGCAGAGATGGGGGGGGCAGTCAGGTACCCTTGCCCTGCACCTTGGAGAGCTAAGCCATATGAAGGCCCCTGCCAGGGACCAGTTGCTTTTAATGTTTGAGTTTAGAACTTTATTCTAATTTCTTCTAATTATTCTAAACCGACCATGGACTTAAGACAAGCCTGTTTGGTCTCAGTCAAAATTCCAACCTTGTTCACTGGCCTCTTGGTCAAGCAGTTTTATATTTCACACAGGGGCAGGGAATGGCATATCCAAATTAAGCCAGGTAAGGGATTTAATTTAAGGAAGGAGTGGGGAAAATTAAGGTCTGGGAGCCAAATGTTGCCTTCCAGGCCTCTCTGTTTTGCATTTGGTACCCACCACAGTCAACTCCTCTTTTGCCAGGCCACATTCCTCACACTCCTTGTGTATTTTTTGCAATACAGTGGTACCTCGGGTTACAGATGCTTCAAGTTACAGACTAACCCAGAAATAGTACCTCGGGTTAAGGACTTTGCTTCAGGATGAGAACAGAAATTGTGCGGTGGCAGTGCTGCAGCAGCAGGAGGCCCCATTAGCTAAAGTGGTACCTCAGGTTAAGAACAGACCTCCAGAATGAATTAAGTTCTTAACCCGAGGTACCACTGTATCCTTGGATATTCCCTGCCTTGCTGGAATGTGTCCTTGCACTCTAATGACACTTGCTTGTTCAGATGGATGGTGGAGATGAGTGTGAGAGTGTGTGTATCCACTAGGCTACTGTATAAACATAAAATGCATCTCTCCACTCTCTTTTTGCTTCTGACTCTATCTACCACTGCCATGTGCCCCCTCCCTGTTTGCCAGAATTGAAGATTGCCCACTCCTGAATTAAGATGCTCAGCAGACATCATTAAAGAAAATAAATTTATATATTGCTGATTGCTCCCTGTCCTGTAAATTCCCCTTGAGTGCAGAATGCACTAGTAATAAGGAGGGGCATCTAGTAATAATCACTATACCAAGGAGAAGCTAATCTTAATGTATAAAAGGCAAGTCACATTCAAAAGATTCTTTCAGATGTGATAGGTTCCTTTCTGTATTTTCTCCAGTAATATAATAATAATGGACATGGTTCTGTTAGCATCTGCCTAGAAATATATATTTGGACCATGTGATCCAGATTAAGTAGGGTTGTCTCCCTTTGTCTGTTTAGAGAAAGAGACATGAAGGTGGAAAGGAACCTGGCCACATTTAGGAGGTTTCAATTAACACGTTTCTTGATATTTTGACTTTCAGTGTCACCCACATTTTTTTCTTCAGACTAAGTACTGCCATATATTAAATGAAAGAACAGCAGAAGAATCACAAAGGAGATATTAGATAGTATGGGTAAGACTATCCAACATGACAAAACAAATTCTATAGATGAAGAACTTCTAATGAAATTATGTGTTGGTTGATGAAACGTTGGACAAAATTAACCTATGTGAATCAGTCATGACTACCCAATTAAAGGTATGTGGCCTTTTACTCTCTTTTGAAATATATAAAATGCATGCAATATAGTACTTAACAATGCTTAGAATTACAAGGGTGCAAGGCTGCTGGAGGTGTGAGTTAGATAGAGAAATGGAAATTTGGCAGGTTGGATTTCTAATGCAGATATTGTAGTTCCATTAGTTGGAAACAGGAAACCCATATTCCATTTGAGAAATGAAATTATCATTGTTGGAACTATAAACTCTTGCAAAAACTAGCCAAGTTAAAAGTTGATGCAGCTGAACAATTATCATATGGAGAACAAAAGAAATGTGCTCCTTTTGAAGTGTTAAGATCCAAGATATAAAAACCATTCAATTTTGCCATGAACTTGTTTCTTTTTTACAGGTGCAGTTATATGAAAATAAAGAACAGCTAAATCATACACATGTAACTGAATTTATTCTTCTGGGCTTTGGAGATCACCACCAGCTACTGCTGATTCTTCTTTTCCTTTTGTTCCTTTTTATCTACATTGTGACGATGGCTGGGAACATCCTCATCATTTTACTAGTTGCCACTGACCGACACCTTCACACCCCAATGTACTTCTTCCTTGGGAACCTCTCATGCTTGGAGACCTTCTGCAGCTCAAACATCTTGCCAAGAATGCTATCCAGTTTCCTTACGGGAAGGAAAGTGATTTCAGTCAATGCATGTTTTGTGCAACATTACTTCTTTGGTTTTTTTGGAGGTGTGGAATGCTACTTATTATCAGCAATGTCCTATGACCGGTACTTAGCTATATGTAAACCTCTCCATTATGTCACCATGATGAATGGCAAATTGTGTTTCCAACTCATAGTCAGCTCTTGGTTTAGTGGTTTTCTGTCAATTACTATGACAACGATTATCATGTCCAAGTTAGTTTTCTGTGGTGACAATAAAATCGACCATTTCTTTTGTGACACCTTCCCCATCATAGAACTATTTTGTGGTGACACTAGCACGTTAAAGTGGTATATATATGTTTTATGCTCTGTATTCACCTTTCCCCCATCTATATTGACCTTCACATCATATACTTTCATAATTATAGCCATAATGAAAATCCCTTCTGCAACCGGAAAACAAAAAGCATTTTCTACCTGTTCCTCTCATCTCTTGGTAGTTACCATTTTCTATGGCACACTGATGGCTGTCTATGTGATTCCGAACACTGACAGACTGAATGCCCTTCACAAAGTCTTCTCTATCTGTTATACCATCCTGACTCCCATGATCAATCCCATCATATATAGTTTAAGAAATAAAGAAGTAAAGGAAGCAGTGAGGAGACATATCTCATTCCTAGTAGTGCAAAAAGAGAAGAAAAGACTTAAAATTTGCTAAAGGTGTTGCTTTCTCAAAAGTGACTTCAAATTTGATAGCATCACTAAACATATATGCTTTCATTTTTATAGATAAATGTGCTCCTTTTTTGTGCACATTAGAACAGCACACACACACACACACACACACACACTGAATGTGGAATGCCAGAATCTGGACTAGTTCCACCCCAAATTTAGCAAATTTCTAGCCTCCTTCCACAGGCTGAATCTGGCTAGAGAACCACAGAAATACCTGGGTAGGCCTTGCTCTATATTTTCAGTCAGGAGAGAGGTACAAGTTTATAAGAAACTACATTTTCTTTCCCAGGAATCACACACACAACTAAACTTTGATGCTTTCACTTGGTTACTGTTAGATCAGAATTGTATGTGGGATTTTTCTCATCTTTTCTTCATTACCTTTTATCCTCCTGTTTTACCTTTCATTTTTGTCTTTTCCTCTCCCTCTCTCTCCTTGACCCCAAATCCTCTCGTGTCCTGGGAACTCAAGGTCTCTAACTTTTGCAATATTCCTACAAGACACACAGCTTTTTATATATGTGAAGTACATTTGTAATTGCTATGTAATCATATTGTAACAATGTTGTTGATGATGACAATGATAACAGTAGTACAGTAGTCACTCAATCATTTAATATTGATTAAGAACATGTATCTTGTTTTGATCACAATTTGTATTTGTATTTTTGCAACAAGTTCACCTTTCATGGGAATTAAGACTAATTTTTTGGTGGGGTGTGCATGTGTGGTTTACCTTTTGTAGTTGTGGTATATATTTATCTTGGATTTAACGTTTTGTTGAGTATTGTGTGTTAATTTTGTGTATTAATTTAGACTATTGGTGGCATTGAACAGGGGAAAATTAGCAACTTAAAAAAAATACAGGGCTGAAATGTACATCTTGCAGACTGAGGTGTCTGAAAACAGATATGTTTTGCTTCCTTCCTAAAGAGATAAAAAAATAGAGCAGATTTTTGTATCTCTTCGGGGAGATTCCACATCCACAGAGTAAATGTGGAAATGAATTATAATGATATCATAACTTCAGATGATGTTGGCACATGGAACAAGGACTGGAGAATGTAAACAACAGTTGGGTGTATCTGGGTAGAGGCAATCTGTCAGTTGTTTTAGTTTGGTTTGACCTATATCAAGCTTAAAACAAAAGAATTTACCACAGTTCACCTAGTTCTTCTGGGTGAAATTAGTTGTCTATCTACCTTTCAATTACTGAAGCACCTGGGTAAATTCCCTCATGCCCCATATTCAGCTGAGGATCATCAGAATTATAGCAATGAAGGGATGTATTAAGAAAAAATGTTGCAGTGAAAGTGGCTAGGAGTACTTAAGTGAAGCTATAAATAAGACCACCCTTTGGCCTGACCTGACATTTCTACCTCAGATACCTAACTCCTAAGTGAGATTGTATTGTTTTATAAGCAAGATGTTTTATATTGAGATTATCTAGTTCATGTGTGGAATATGTTTTTCTAGCCTTCTCAAATCACTTCTTGACAAAATTCTTTGCATGTTCCATCTGGACCTCTGAGTTGGTCTTGAAATTTTATTTTTGGTGAAGCAGGTGGCAGCACAGAGGTATGAGGCACCTCTGAAAAAATATCCACTCATTTTAACCCTCCACCCTCTTCAAAATTCCTTGAATATTTCTCAGGAAACACCAAATTCTTCTCAAACACCTTTCCCATTTGTGTCCAATTCAGAAGGCAGATAGAGAGATAGATTGGAATGTATCTTCATCTGGAGGTTTTCTTCTATTACTTACTTCCTCAGTCTAGGCATGCATCAAAAATCCTTGTTCTTCCTCTCTCTTATTCAGTCAATCCTTTTTCTAAAGGCCTTACTTTCTTATCATAGCCCTGGGATACATGTGAAGGAAACATGCCCTGGCAGACCTTGTTCTGAAATGTTCATGATGCTCTCTCTGGTATTCCTTTCACTGCTGTTTCCAAATGTGGTAGGGAAGGAAACCCACTTTAAGTGTATACTTGAACACCACTACCCAGAGGGGTACCATAAAGATGGGGATTTCATTATTGGTGCACTTGTATCTCAGTTCCTTACATGGGAAAAGCTAGAGAGATTTGATATTCAGCCTCCTCTTGCTTACTCATTAGATCCATAGTAAGTCACTCTTCTTCCTTTAAATGTGTTAAAGCTGTTTCAAATATGTTGTGAAATGCTTCTTATAAAAAGTTCATTTATTTCAATAAAGATGAATCCCTGTAAGGTTTTTTGTGTGTGTGTTTTTGGTGGGTATACAGACATGGTTCTTCATATTCTTCACACATACTTGAATACATATACAAAAATATTTAAATAAGGGCTAAACTGGGAAGAATTTTTTTTAAATCTTCAGCAATTACATATATTTTCCCCAAACTACTCAATGATCACTCCAAACCAAGCTGGTATTTCTGTCCATTCCACACATTACGCAGAAGTAAACCTTGGTTTGCCTGTGAATGTTTACTCAACAGCTGCCAACAGTTGTGATTTCAATGGGGTGTACTTATGATTCAGTTCTATGCATTTTGTTATGATTACTGCATTTTTTATAAGTAGTTTCTTGCAATTACTCTTGAAATTAAATTTTGCAGTGTGTGTGCATGTGTGGTGGTAATGGAATACTGCATCTTACTGTGCATTTACGGAATTAATTCTCATTGCAGTCCCTTGACTCGCAATTATCAACATGTTCTTGCCTTGGTCTATGCAGTAGAGGAGATAAACAAGAACCCCAATCTGCTACCCAACACGACTCTGGGATTTCACACCCATGAAAACTATTTCAATGCAAGGAAAACATATGAATGTTCATTAAGTATCCTTTCAGGAAGAGGCAGAGCAGTTCCCAACTACACCTGCAGGAAACAGAACAACTTAATAGCTGTTATTGGAGGGCTAAAGTCCATGTCATCCATTCAGATGTCAACTATCTTAGGTTTATACAAGATACCACAGGTGTGTATATTGGGAGAGACTTTCATGATAGAACATTCAGACATCCAGATCTTCTTTGGGCATATTATTTATTTCTAGTGATATTAGACAGTTTATATGTGAGCACGCTTTCACCACCAACAGGAAGGATGTTGGGATGTAAATTAATACGGAAATGTGTGATACTTTGTTTGTGACTCTCAGTGAAAAGGTTACTTGTCTTCTTTCCCCCTCATTTTAGATCAGCTATGGATCATCTGATGAAGTATTGAGAAGTAAAACCCTTTTCCCATTTTTCTACCGGACTGTCCCAAATGAAGGTCTTCAGACCTTAGGAATAACCAAATTAGTTTTGCACTTTGGTTGGACCTGGGTTGGCCTCATAGCATCTTATAATGATCAAGGTGAAACCTTTGTTCTGAACTTGAAGAAGGAATTTGTCCAAAAGGGTGTGTGCATTGAATTTACAGAAATGCTTCCAAAAATGCTTGATAATACTATGCATGTAAAAAATAAAATAATTAAGTCATCCTCCAGTATCATTGTGGTGTATGGAGATACAGATTTCCTCATCTGGGTAAAGATAACTATTGAAAGTTCTGCAGTTTCAGGGAAGGTTTTAATCATCACATCCCAATGGGACTTCCTATCTAGTGTCTCTTATCTGCATATGGGATTTTCTTCCTTCAGTGGCACCTTGTCATTTGCTCTCCATAAACATGAAATTGTGGGATTTCGCCATTTTCTTCAGAATATAACCCTCAGCAAATACCCAGATGATGTCTTTCTGCCACATTTTTGGGGGGCTGCATTCAGCTGTTTCATTCCATCACTAGATTCAGGCAGCATGTTTTGGCAACTATGTACTGGAAATGAAAGGATTAAGGATTTGCCTAAGTACAAATTTGATTTGCAAACATTGGACTTGAGCTACAATATATACAAAGCTGTTTATGCCATCGCAAAATCTTTACATGAAATGTATTCATCCAGATACATCACAACAAAGCTGGAGAACAGATCAAGACCAAAGATGCATAAAATTAAACCATGGAAGGTAGTAAGAATATTTGCTTTCTACTTATTTAAGGTTATGAGCAATTGCTGCTAGCTTCTGTTTCCACTAAAGAAAAGTGTGTCTCAGGATGGATCTATGTTAACAAAGGAATATTATTATTCAAGGTTTCCATTTCCTGAGAATTTGAAAGATGAATGACAGCAATGATGGTCTCCAGCTTAAAGAAGGGGCAACCAAATTTTCAGTTTTCCAAAAACCCGCCTGTTCCCACCAATGAAACAATTCAGTTGCAGTTATTGCTACCACTTTCTACTACTTGCTTTAGTGTGTTCTTGTTAGTCAGATTACTATTGTTCTTCAAACTGTTTTTCCAGTGGTGGCAATCGTGGCTCTGCGTGGCCATGGGAAAACCAGGGGTTCTCACCTGCATGACCACCAGCAGCAATAACAGCTTTTACCAGTAGCAGGGACTTCTGGGACATCTCTCCAAACTTAAGATTGGCCAATAGTGAGTGTGGTTTGGGAGATGAACCTTAGGGAGCTAGTCTCCACTCAGATCCATTTCCGTTGCATAAATTCTTGCTGTGCTTTGAGTGGCCAGCACAGTCAACACACTCACTCTGTATCTTTTGGCCCTGCCCAAAGGCTAGTAGAGAGTGCTCCAGCACAGCCTTGTTGTGGAATTAATCAGTTGCTGTATTAAGGGCCAGGGAGGAATTTGCCTGCAGACAAATTAAGCCTGTCTGGAGTTTTTGCCTACCTCATAGCAACAGTCACAACTTTTGGCAGAAAAGGCATTGGGTTGAGTCAGTGAAGCTCAGATGCTGACAGTAGAAGAAGAACCAGGCATAGAGAGATAACAGTTAACTGCAGAAGACAGAGAGGAGGGGGAGAGCAGCTGTAATCTGAGCTCTGAACAAAGGGGAGACAAAAGACAGGGCCAAAGTGACAGGCGGCTGTGTGAGAGCTCCAATAGTGAGTTAGATGTTGGAATGCAGGAAGCATTCTCTCCTAAATCTCACAGGATCTCAAAAGTGGCTGAGATGTGTGAAAGATACTGGAAAAGAAGGTGGGGGCTTTCGTGCTGGGGAAGGGGGAGGAGCTCAGTCCGGGCAACTCCATCTTCTGGGGAGGATGATGAGTAGAGGAGCTCTGTTCTAATTTGTTGTTTTAGCAATAAATCTGAAATAATTAACATCCAGAGTCGTTTCGCATTTGTGGGAGAGACCAAGCCATAACAGGTTGGATCCTTAGTCAAAACTGCAACAAAATGTTAAGGGTACTCTGGTAAAGGGGTCCATGATAAAAGTTTTGATGATTAGCCCCAGATGGGGGCTAATGGGAGATAAAACATCCCAAATGATGGCCTGCAATACTACTCTGTCCATGTGTTTCAATTAACTGGAGAGATCATGCTCATGGTCCCACAACTGGGGGTGGCTCATTGAGTGATTACAAAAGACAGGGCCTTTCCAGTGGTGACCCTCGGTCTCTGGAATTCCATCCTTGAGGAAATATGGATAGCCTGTCATTGCTGGCATTTAGAAGCCAGTTAAAGTTTTATCCATTCGCTTGGGCCTTTAAGACCCAGTAGTTGAAAATGCTTGAAAACTTTTTCCAAGTTTGTGTTTTTGGAGTCTTAATGGTGTTATGAATGCTTTGTGATGATGTTTTTAATTACATTGTTCCCAACTTGGAGGACTTACAGTATACGCATAAAAGCAAATCATGCATAAAAATAAAACTATTACCCTTACTTCCCGTTACAAAAACACACACCAGAAGAACCACATTGTCTTCAAAAATGACTTTAAAAATAACAATAGCTTGCATGCAGACTAAATTAGTTGTACTTAGTTCCCACCAAAATCAATAGGATTTAACATTAGTCATGATTACAATATCACATTGATTTCATATTGACTCAAGTTTGGGTGTAATCCGATATTTGTCTTCCACATTTGAAATTAACCAAACAATTACTTTGGCTTGCCAGGTAACTTGGTTCAACAGCTGTGGATCCATCACCGTGAAAGTCCTGCTCTGAGCACAAGAAGAGTCCATGTCTAAAAATGAAAGTGCCCAGAGTCAGGCTTCTGCAGCATAGTTCATAACTTTATTACTCCAAGCATGTATACAGAGGATGTCTGTACAGGTCTAATGTTTTTATTATTTGGGATATGAATGCAAAAAATGCTATTGCAGTATGTTAAAAAATGTTGCTGGCATTTGAGCAAAAAATATTGACCATTGTGCATTTCCTTCTTTTAATTGATCATGCTACGCAGCTGCATCCTTTTCTGAAGGAAGTCAGATATCATATTACTTCAACAGATGATGTCTTTTTTGATGAGAGGGGGGAATCAGCATCTGGATATGACATTCTCAATTGGTTTACCCTACCAAACGATACCTTAATTAACAGGAAAGTTGGTAGAGTCTACATGCGCCATCCATCAATTGAACCATTTTTCTTTATAAATTCAACAAGAATTGTTTGGCAAAAGAATTTCAAGAAAGTAAGAATTGCTATGGGGTTGTTGTTGTGGGTTTTTTTGTTTTGTTTTTTATTTTAATCACTGATAATTAATATAATATACTACTATTCACTAGCAATTTCTCCCCCTACCACACTAAGTAGTAATTTCATACATCTTTACATCTTTTAAATTGAATGCAATTGTAGATGATAATCAGAAAATCTGTCTATTTCTGCTCCAGCATACTTTTGCATTTCTTTAAAGTATATTCGCTCAAAATATGTATTTAAATATGGAAAAATATACACCTGCCCCATACTTTCTGTCTTGACTGACGTGAATCAGCAGGGCTTGAGATAGAATCATAGAGTTGGAAGGGATTCCATGGGCCATCTAGTCAAACCCCCTGAAATGCAGGAATGCAGTGGTTTTAAACTCTGACTGAACATGGAGTCAGCAAGATGGGGGAAGGAGACACTGCATCTCCTTTTCTCCCTCTCAACCACATGTTTAATTAGGTTTTCAAGCTTATTTAAGTGTTAGGCCTCGCTAAGGCTTGGTTCCAGGATAAATCAGGGCTGATAGGAAGCCCTGGATCAGCCCCAAAATCAGAATGGGAGTCCTGTGTGCAGCTTCAATAAATGCACATTGCATTTGACCCATGGAAATGTCCACAAATATACAGATTCCCAGTAAAGTACAAAAGAATAAAAAATACATCTGCAGCCTTCATTTGAGCCATTTATTTTGTTTTCCCAGATATATAAAGTTTGCTTATATTCACAAAAAGCATATGGTCTTTCAGTAATCTCTTTCACATGCTGACATGAACCATTGCTTTCCCCCATCATTTTTGTGAATCTCTATTCTATTTTTTCCTATATAAATAAAACATATTTTTATTAAAGATTTCTTGGTTTACAAAAGTATGTGCAATGTCTCTTTTTTCAAGTTACATTTTCTACAGATCAGTTTCATTTGTTGAGACATTAGTGTTACCTGAGGAAGAAAAGGGGGAAGAGGTGGAGGGGGGCATGGTGAGTGGGGGTGGTGGCAATGTTTCTATTCTACTTAACATATGTGTGAGGTTTTGTGTCAGCGTTGCTTGTGTGGGTTTTCTTTACTATTCGCTTGTGTTCCTTTGGTTGTGAGAGAGGTTGGGTTTGGCCTAAGGTGTGGTTGTTTATTTGTGATTGGCTGTGGTGAACTTTGTTTTCATGTTGTTTTAGGTTCCACAATCTATCTGCACCAAGAGCTGCCTTGAAGGTCAGCATAAGATAGCCATTGAAGGGAATCCTGTCTGTTGCTTTGCTTGTTCTCCATGCCCAGAAGGAACATTTTCTAACTACACAAGTAAGAGCTATGGAGAGATCATGTCTTGCAAAAACCTGGAATATAGTCAATGTCCTGTGAATTTCAGACCCACACATATAGCTCTGAAAAATCAGGAGGGACTTCGTTCTTTGCAAATGCTCTGTATGCAAATACTCTATGACATGTAAAGAAGGGTGTTTTTGTTTGTTTTTTACAATTCATTCATTTTATCAGAAGGCATCATCATAACCTATTTGATTAGAAAGAAGTGGTCTCAGAATTTTATCTAGCCCAGCCTTCCCCAACCTCTTGCCTTCCAAATGTTCTAAACTATAGCACCCATCACTCCCAGCCAGGATGATCCAAAACATTGGGAGGGCATGAGGTTGGGGAAGGGTGATCTAGTTAGTGAGTATAGGCCTTAAGATACTTGAAAGTGAGTTAGAGACATAGTTTCATGTCAGGCATAAAATCATTTATTTTGACTCTCTGTTTCTGTTTTTGATGCAATAGAAAAGCCCAGCAAAACTGTTTACTTGATGTGACAGTGAAATGAGTGTGGTACAAACTGCATGGGGAAAAATTTAATACTACCTTCAATGTCTAGCGGAGAGGACACCTATGATTTTTCTACAGCCTGATTAAACAAACAAGTGCATATATTTTGTTGTATTAATCTCAGTGGAATCAATATACTGGTTTATCTTAAATTTAAGTCCTAGATAGTTTAGTTGGCTTGTGGTTCATTCTCTAATGCAGGGAGGGCCAACCAAAGACCAATTCATGACCCAGCATACTTCTACTGCAGAAACATGGGGGTGGTTGGAACAAGAGCTCTGGCCACTAAACCCCAGAGGGGACTTATGGGTGCAGGAGAGATCAGAAGAAGCCCCAAGCTGCCAAACTCACACCTTATGACATTTTTTAAAGAGGATGCTGGCACCAGTGCCACTGCTGCTACTAAGATAAGCAGATCCCCCTCATCTGAACAGATGAGTTTACCTAAGGGAGATGGAGCTCAGTTTTCAGTGTGAATCCCAAAACTGGCCAAACAGTTTGTAACTACAGGAGGGAGACACATGCACCTTTAGAGAATATTATCAAACTATCAGGAGCTCACACTGCATGCCATGTCCGTTGCTGAGACTAAAATGGATTGTCTTTGCATCACTTCAGTTGGATGTCCTGGCTGCAAAACATTCCCCCCTCAATTTTAATGTTTCTTCCTTTCATTCAGATGCAGATCGTTGTGAGAAATGCCCAGAAGATCAGTACCCAAATCCAGATAAAACAAACTGCATTCCAAAGTCAGTCACATTTTTGTCATTTCATGAGCCTTTGGGGATTGGTTTGGCTGGGACAGCTGGTTCCCTTTTTCTTATCACAATTTTGGTGCTAGGGGTTTTTATTAATAACCAGGATACTCCCATTGTAAAAGCCAACAATCGAAATCTTACCTACACCCTTCTCGTTACCCTGATGCTCTGCTTTCTTTGTTCCTTACTATTTATTGGTCAGCCTGGAAAAGTGACTTGCCTTCTCCGACAAACTACTTTTGGGATTATATTTTCTGCCTCTATTTCTTGTGTCCTGGCAAAGACTGTCACTGTGGTTCTGGCTTTCATGGCCACTAAGCCTGGAAATAAGATTAGGAAATGGAATGGAACAAAATTGACAAACTCCATCACTCTTTTCTGTACCCTTGCTCAAGTTATCATCTGTATTGCCTGGCTTAAATCCTCTCCTCCATTCCCTGATTTTGACTTTGAATCTGAGGCTAATCACATAGTAATCCAGTGTAATGAAGGAGCTGCCCATATGTTCTACACAGTCCTTGGTTACATGGCCTTTCTTGCTATTGTAAGCTTCTCTGTAGCTTTTCTAGCCAGGAAGCTGCCAGACATTTTCAACGAAGCCAAGTTCGTCACCTTCAGCATGCTGATTTTTTGCAGCATTTGGATCTCATTTATTCCCACATATTTCAGCACTAAAGGGAAGTTTATGGTGGCTGTAGAGGTCTTCTCCATTTTAGCCTCCAGTGCAGGCTTGCTGGGGTGCATCTTCTTCCCCAAAGTCTACATTATTGTCATGAGGCCTGACCAGAACACCAAAAGGAAGTTACTAAAGAAATCAAATGCTGGAACAAATGAGTTATAACAATAAAAGACTCTTTTGCTCTTAAATTCCTAGCAAGGAAAGAAGGACTCTTGGAAAACATGTCCAAAAAAATCATCATTATGTGCCATCATTCCCATAGTCATTCAGATCAAGTAGTGCAGTAGAATACAGCCCCCAGCAACCCAAATGCTTCTTCATATTTTGGAGCAAAGGAAAAGAATATGCAAAACCACTTAATCTAATGACAAAGGTGTCTTTGTCATTTTCAGAAATGTATCCCATTCACCTACCATTTCTTGCCAAAAAGAAAAGCCAGACTAATATTTCTGGTGAAAACTATCATGAAGGTAAGGCCACAGAGAGGATGCATAACAAAAACAATTTTAATACAACTTGTTATGAAGTGAGAAACAACTGACACAAGCACACAGTGCCTGAGAGATGATACAGGTAGTTCCTGGTCAATATGATGATGATGATGATGATGATGATGATGATGATAATGATAATAATAATAATAATAATAATAATAATAATAATAATAATAATTTATTATTTATACCCATTAAACAAACCATTAAAAAATCCTTACTCCTCCAAGGCTTTTCTACTCCTTTGGAATTTAATTTTGCTACTAACACGACAAAGCCCTTATCCAACGAAGACTGGACGCAGTGCCGGTTCCTGTCCCCCGAAGAAGTGGGTTCTCCCACACAACCCTTAATACCTCAAACAACAATACACCAGGTAGACCTTGCCATGCCGATGAGTAGGAATGGTTCAATCTTTGTGGACGCCTCAGGATCCTTAGATGGCATTCAGGTGGAGGATTGAAAGACAGATACAGCGAGGGGACACCACGCCAGGGAAACAAAACTTACTAGGTCAGTACCTACCATAAATGATCTCAACAGCTCACTCCACCTTCACAAAAACATTCATTCCATCATCCTGAAGAACAAACGGAGGAGTCTACCTTTGTTCCCCTCACCACCGTATTTCCACATCTTATCGTGGAATGTGGCGGGCTGGCTGTCTAAGCAGGGCGATGCTGATTTTCTGGATTTCCTCTCAAAATTCCAGATTATTTGTTTACAAGAGACCTGGTGCCTAGACTCTTATCCCCCTTACTTACAGGGCTACGTGGCTTTTGCTACCCCTGCAAAAAAACTAAATAACCGTGGCCGACCTAGCGGCGGTTTGGTCACTTTTATTCCTATAGAGCAAGGGTACAGGGTGCGACAACTGCAGTGGATGAAGAACAACAATTTCCAGATTTTACTTATCTCCAATAACACAGGAGGAGATTTTCTATGTTTCAACGTTTATATTCCTCCCGTGTGTACTTCCTCTCAGACAGTACAAATCTGGGAAGATTTGGAGTCATGCTTGGAGAAGGCCAAAATAGAATTTCCTGACTGGAACATCCTGTTGGCAGGTGACTTTAATGCCAGGATAGGCAGCGACATCAATTCGTATAGCTCCAAAACCCAGTTTTTACCAGAGGCAGACTGGTTTATCCCTTGGAGTTCTGATGAAAAGGTCATGAATAAGGCAGGTAATACATTACTGGAGATTGCTTTTAAGCATAATTTGTAAAACCTGCATGGTACTTACATGGATAGGTCAGGAGGTTTCTTCTCTTTTATCGGCCCTCGTGGTGCAAGTGTGATTGATCATATCCTGGTCTCCCCAACAATTTTGGAGAGGACACAGGGTCTCAGCACTTTTAACAGAACCGAGAGTGACCATCTTCCTAGAGCAATCTCACTAACTCCCCTCGAATCAGGGGGATTACAACATCTACATTGTGCTGTCCCTCCTCAAACACCAGCCCCACGCAGGTGTAAATGGAACAGCGAGCTGGAGCTTAAAATCAAACAACACCTGCACTCTCCAGATTTATTGGTTCTGAGAGACCAGTGTCTCTTACCTAACTTTGACCCTTTTTCACTATATCAGCGGGTCTCAGAGTCTCTTTTCCCATTTCTTACAAACACCAGGCCTCCCAAACAACATAACAAATCGGGGGTCTGGTTTGACAAAGACTGCCGGAAGCTAAGATCCCTGCTTAGGAAACAACAAAATAAGGTAAAACAGGAGAGGACTTTGTCATCTATGGTAAATTTACACAGATGGCGCTCTTACTATAAAAACATCTTAAAACTCAAGAAATCCCTATATAGGAAGGAACAATGGGAGGCACTTGATAAGGCGATTAAATCGCGAGACGATAGAAAATTTTGGGCAATAGTAGCACAAGGAGTCTCATCCAAAGGAAAAATTGTAAACAGCAGTATTCCATCCGATGTGTGGTATCAACACTTTTTCAAGCTATACACACTTTCAAATACTGCTAACTTGAGCCCATTCCTCCCATTGAAGAATGAGCATCTAGCTAGCTGGGATCCTGTTACGGAATCAGAGTGCCTACAGCTAATTAAAACTTTAAAAAATGGCAAAGCTCCTGGTGAGGATATGATCCCCCCTGAGGTTTTTAAATCAAATGCCCAATGGTGGGCCATCTTTTTGGCCAAACTTTTTACGGCAATAAACAACACATGTAAAATCCCAGCAAACTGGAAACTAAGTGTGGTAGCCCCTATCTACAAGAAGGGAGATATTCAAGATCCAGCAAACTACCGCCCTGTAAGCCTTCTGGACATCGCATACAAACTTTATACCCGGTACTTATTAAACAAGCTGGTAGATTGGGCGGACCACTCTAACCTGTTCAACCAGGAACAGGCAGGATTTAGAAAGGGCCACAATACGATAGGTCACTGCATGGTACTACAGACCCTGGTAGCTAAATATGCAAAAGCGTATAAGAGCAGACTCTTTGTGGCCTTCGTTGACTTGACATCTGCCTTCGATTCAATCTGTAGAGATAGACTATGGAAAAAATTATATGAAACGGACATTGATAGGAGACTTTTAAAAATTCTCAGAGAGCTACACACAGACATTACAGTCAAAATCAGAACTGGATCATCGGGAACTCTTACGGACCCACTGCCATTGGGGAAAGGGGTCAAACAGGGATGCCTGCTAGCCCCATTTCTTTTTAACTTTTATATAAACGACATTGTTCAGTACATGGCAAAGTACAAGTCATCGGCTCCAGCCCTCGAAGGTAAACGCCTGAATATATTGCTATATGCCGATGACATGGCTTTAATGGCACTCACCCGAAGAGGCTTACGCAGCATGCTGGAGGGGATCGCAGCTTACTGTTCCAATAACTCACTAAAGATAAACTATGACAAAACAAAAATTGTGGTGTTCACTAGAGCTCGCCACATCTCTAGATGGTCTATAGATGGACATGTGATTGAACAGTGTCCTTTTTTTAAATATCTGGGTGTTACATTCCAGGCTACATCTAGTTGGCTAGCCCACTTTAAGGCTGTAACCATTTTAACACGAAGAACAATTGGTGCTTTGCTTAGTTTCTTCCATTCCAGGGGGGGACAACTGGTGATCCCGGCACTAAGAGCTTTTGTTGGGAAAGCTATCCCCCAGATGTTATATGGGATAGAACTCTGGGGGTGGAACCAGAGGCTGTTGGAACGGCTTGAAATTTTGCAAAGCTATTATCTCAAGAGGATTCTAGGCCTTCCTCAAGGAACCCCAGCAGCTTTCTTGAGGGTGGAGGTTGGATTACCCTCTGTATCTGCCAGGGCCCACTTAAGATTCCTACGATTTTACATCAATCTTGCAAACACTTCAAACACCTTATTGGCCAAACAAGCTTTTGTATCTTTTCAAAAGAACACCACTTGGTGCCAAAACTTATCTGAGATCCTGGTTAGATACACCCTACCGGAGTTTAATATCCTTAAACTGTGGAGCCCGGACAAAGTCCGGAAATGGATCCTGGAGAGAGACGCTTTGTTAGATATCACAAAAATACAGATCCTAGGGTCCTCCCACTGGTTTCCCCGACTGAAAGCAGTCAAAATCTGCGCCAATTATTTGGCGAATATCATCAATCCCACTCTTCGGAGAGCCTTTACTATGGCCCGTTTTCAAACCATTCCTACGGCCTATCTGTCAGGCAGATATGCAAAAATCCCAGTAGAGCAGCGTACATGCCCTTGTTATATGAGAACCAAAGAGGATCTCATACACTACATGTTGTATTGTCCCATCTATTCGGCTTTCAGGGATGCGATGCTACAAACTATTCCCAAATCAATAGTCAACTCTGAGGACCAAGTAAAGTTTTTACTGGTGGACGCTGATCCACGGATTTCTCACGTGGTAGCGGTCTTTGTGGTGAAGGCTATGAAAACTAGGGTACGGTTCCTGGAGGAAACGGTGAGGTCCCTCCCATTGCTCTCCTAACCTGTTGCTGTATCTTCTTCCCTGAATGGTGGGGTTTATTGGGTAGTTTCCTTGCTGGGACAGCATGGCACGAATTTTAGCTTACTTTTATAATTTTATTGTTTATCTTTTAATAATGTTTTATGGTATTTTGTGTAAAGGCATGGACCTCACAAATTTAATAAACTTGACTTGACTTGACAATTATTTATACCCCACCTATCTTTGCTTTGTATTCTAGAACCTTCTCAACAAGTGTAAATAAAGAGTGTAAATAAAGAGGTCATAAGAGATAAACTAAAAGTCTCTGTTGTTCTCTCCTCTGATGGAAACTGATGCCAAGATGGTGTAGGAAATGTGGTCTTTTCAGTCCCACCTAAGAACTCTTTCAGATACCTGCAGCAGAGAACAAGGTGTGTGTGTGTGTGTGTGTGCGCGCGCACGCACGCGCGCGCACGCACACACACCATTCCATGTAAAGAAGTCAACTGCATAGACAGTTGAATATTTAATAATGGCTATAAGCTAGCAGCTTCTAAGACACCTCAAGGCAGCAGGGTAATTTGGGCTCAGTAGCACACACAACTCTGTCCTTGAACACCACTTCCTGTCTCTCAGTATCTGCCACTTGATGCAGAGGCCTCAGTCTGCCTAACATCCCTGAAAGAATGACACTTTTGACTACATGCAAAAAGAGGCAGCAGAGTAGTAGAAGCTATCTTACAATTTGGGTACCATTTTGTGTAGAAAATTGGTCTTAGTTTAGCACATATATAATTAGCTGAAATGGTTAATCCTAGTGAGATATGTTTCAAAATACACTCCACTATGTGAACCCTAGAAGTTGCAGTCATGACCCAGCTGGCTAAAGCTTCTGCACCACAGTATTTCCACCTCATTAGTGTTTTCAGACCAATTTCAAATTCAGACTGAATTATTTGGGAAGGTGGCCATACTAGTAATGCCAAATCCAGATGGCAATGCCCCCAAACATAGTGCCCAATGATGGCACACACATGAAAGCAGTGGATGGTTGGTGGAAAGACCCTGAGTGACAGGTGGGGAAGAGAAGATATCCCAGAGTGAGAGACTGGGAGGAGATGAAGAGTTCCCAGATGAGAGCTGGGAGGGTTCACCACCTTCTGTGCATGTCAAGGGTTAAGTGCTGCCTTTGAGAGAGGTCTCTGTGTTTTCTCTCTCTCTTCCTTTCTCTGTTTTATTTAGATTAGTTTCTTTTATCTTACTGTATTATGAAAAAGCTTTAATAAAATATTATGAGAAAAAGAAGAAGACAGAATTCAACTTGCTTCTTAATGGCTTGAAGGACAAAAGAACTGGCTATGACATATATTTAGGATAGGCATATGTGAAAGACCACCTTCACTCATATTTTTATTTTTATTTTCTTTATTATTACATTTAAATTTCACATTTCCTCCAAGAAGTTCAAGGTCGCAAACATAGAACTCTCTCTTCCCATTTTATGCTCAAACCAACCCTGAACTAGATTAGGTCAAGAAAAAGTGTCTGGCTCAAGGTCACCCACTTCATTGCTGAGGTGGGATTTGAACCCTGTCTTCCAGGACCTAGTCCAATACTTTAACCACTACACCACACTGGTTCTCATATGTATCCCATAAGAGCCTACTTGCTTATTAAAATAATCAATGGAGACTCTCTTATGCCTGATGTAAATTTATTTACTATGCATATATTATTTAAACAAAAATACTGATGCTAGCTTTGGGAATTCTGGGTCTTCCACTTTGGGATTTCTGGATATCTGCAACTAGACCTTAATAATTCCCTCTCTTCATACATTTACCTTAATTAATTCCCTAGCGTGCTGAATGTAAACAGATTTGTGGTTGACATCACAGTAGTCCACAAACCTCCATGCATGACAGTTTCATAAGGATATAATGTTGCCTGTTGAGGGCAGCTCATTTTTCGTCCTGTAAAATCATTCATTTTTCGTTTCTAGAAAGAAAGAAGTGTAACTATGGTTGTTGGGGTACTGTTGTTGCAAATGTGATCTGGATCATTGTGACTAAATTTAGAAGGGGAAAAAATAAGGTGATTTTATTCGAAGTTCTTTGTTCACATTTGCTTAGCCGCCCATGCGGGATCTACAAGGAGCAAAGCTGGCTGCTTGATGGTGCCCAACAACTGAATTCTACTTGAATCTCAAGACAGGGTAACAAATAAAAATGGAGACAGCTGGTTTCACTCTAAGAGGTTGTAGACTCTGCTAGTTAGACTGTAGTGTAGGCTGTGAGGATGTAAATTAAAAGCCTTAATGTAGCACAAAGGAGGGATATGATGCAGCATCTTAGGATAAGATATTCATGATAATTTGGCCTAAAAGCAAAACATGCCATCTCATTATAATAATGGAATCACCATTACCTTTTAAATATGTTGCTAAACTTGAATGAACTTGCCAATTTTAGATGATTGGGCAAATGCTTACCAAATTGATATAGAAGATATTTAAATAATGATACAAAAGTGCTCATTTGTCTTTGCATTTGACCTGAAAGACCATACTCATGTAATATGAGAAAAACATAAATAGAAGAGAAATGTGGTTACATGTAGCACTTAAAATGGTACTTAAGTGGCACTTAAGATCCAATAAGCTTTACTTACTCTTATTGCACATGTGTTAGTGCTATCTGAGTGCAGTACTGTCAATTTCCATAGGCAACTAGATTTTTTGAATTGCTTCTGACAGGGACAAATAAGGAACAACAAACAGAAGTCATGAACAATGGGTTTCATTAAACTAAGTTTTACTCAGAATAGACCTGCTGAAATGAATGAACATGAATAAGTCCATTCATTTCAGTGGGCCTTCTCTGAGTAAATATTTGCTTATTTCATAAAAGGTAATCTGTACAACTTCATTTTTTCCCCCTTTTTTGCAAGCGAGTAAGTTTCAAAGTACCGGTAATATTTGTTTAAAATCTACACTGATGTCACCTGTGTCTCACCTATAAAATAATTAGAGAAAATTATGTTTCCTCTTCTAGAAGCTGTTTGGTATTATACTTCACTATACATATTTTTCCGGACTCTTTGGGACTTCTCAGGAGACATGTGCAGTGGAACCATCTGCGCACTCGCGGGTCGCGATTCAGCACTTCTGCGCATGTAGAACACAATTTAGTACTTCTGTGCATGCGTGAGCGCCGAAACCCAGAAGTAACCCATTCTGGTACCCGTTCTGGGTTCAGCGCAGTGCGCAACCCGAAAATGCATAACCTGAAGCATCTGTAACCCGAGGTACCACTGTATAGGGCTACATTTAGTCTGTTCATAATATCCAAAGAATAGCAGAAAACCAGAGATTTATGTTTTATAGAAAAAAACCAAACTTCATCAGAAAACAATAAATAATCTTCTCCTTTCATCTGCTGAACCGAGGAACTTGCTTATTAAAAGAATGATCTCCACATTCACACACTTGTGCACATGCACATAAAAACTCAGGGTGTAATCATACTTGTATATTAAATGTTATGTATCAGATTTGAGTGATGAAACCTGTATTTCTACCTATTGCCTTTTGCAGTTCCTTGATATACCCTGAGGAGCATTTCATGGATAATAAACAATGGAACAATCAAACAATGGTCAAAGAATTCATCCTCCTTGGATTTGGAAATATCCATTCATTTCAGCTCCTTTTCCTGGTATTTCTAGTGATTTACCTTGTGACCATATTGGGAAACCTTTTGATTGTTATCTTAGTTGCAGCTGATCAACACCTACACACTCCCATGTACTTCTTCCTAGCAAATTTGTCTTCTTTAGAGTCGTGCTACATCTCAACTATTTTGCCCAGAATGCTGAACAGTTTCATAACTGGGAACCAGTCTATGTCTGTGAATTCTTGTTTCATGCAACTATATTTCTTTGGGGCCTTGGCTACTGCAGAATGCTATCTGCTTGCTGCTATGTCTTACGATCGGTATCTAGCAATTTGCAAACCATTGCATTATATGACCATTATGAATGCCAGGTTCTCCCTGCAACTTTCAAGTGGTTCTTGGGTCATTGGATTCATCGTTAATACTTTAACAACCTCTTCAATGATGCACTTAATATTCTGTGGACCTAATGAAATCGACCACTTCTTCTGTGATTTTGCACCATTACTTCAATTGTCTTGTAACGATACCCTGAAAATACAGCTGCTGATTTTTGTTCTGTCAGCTCTGTTTGGATTGGTGCCATTTCTTTTAACACTTATTTCCTACAGCTGCATCATAAAAACCATTCTGAGGATCCCATCCACTTTAGGAAGGAAGAAAGCATTTTCCACCTGCTCATCACACCTCATTGTGGTTACACTCTTTTATGGCACTATAGTCATTGTATACGTGTTACCAAAAACCAGAACACTTAGAGACCTTAACAAGGTCTGCTCTGTCTTCTACACTGTCTTAACACCCTTGGTGAATCCTTTTGTTTACAGCCTGAGAAATAAAGACATTAAACAAGCATTAAGGAAAGCTGTGAGATATTTTGTCGATAGATCATAAGCATCATCATAAGCAACTCCAGGAATGGGGAACTGGTTGGACTTCAACTTACATGAGTTCCAGCTACCATGGATAATGGTCAGGGTTGATGGGAGAAGCAGTTTGGCAACATCTGGAGGGCCTTTTTTATTTAAATAAAAATGTAAAAGCTGCCACTACTATTTCAATGAGATGGCTACCATGATCATACCTTGCTTTCAGAGAAAAGTGACTTGTTTGAATTAGAATGCTAAATTGCATATACAGCCTCGTCTGATCCATTCAATTAATATGTATGTGATTATGACAAAAATGCAGGAATCCTGCCCACAGCCATTCCTGGCTGGCTTGTACCACAGATGCACTGACCCATTGCGCCACATGACCTGCATCAGATTATTTGGAAGACCTAGGAACCCAAAGGGAAATATAGGAAACAGTGTTGTTGTCTCTTATGTGGTAAGGAATACATTTGCTGCTACTAAACAGCAGTGTTTCAAATGTCATTTGAAACACTGCTGTTTAGTAGCAACAAATGTATTCCTTACTAAATCTGTCTGAATTGATTTGTCTTTAAAGATGCTTGTGATAGGGAGAAATATGTTCCCCATTCACAAGTCCAGAGCATGTGCATGAGGTTGCACATAGGTGCGATTGCATTGTAGGGAGTTGGACTAGATGATTCTCAGGGTCCCTTCCAACTCTACAATTCTATGATTCTGTGGTTCTATGGTTCTATAGTTCTATGTAGTGCTGATCTTCCAGAATATAGCAGCTAGCTCATGCCCATAATGTAAGCTCCCTGAGGCACCAACCACCTCACATTGCCAGCTGGTTACAGTGACTTGTCACTTGGTCTGATGATCCTGGAACTTGGAGGTCTACCCAGCTGAATGCTGGACAGTGTGAGGAAACAGGTTTCTTGTCAGTTCACAGCTGTGCTAGGTGGCAATAGGAACCTCTTCTAGTTCTAAAGCTAGGGTTTGGGCTTTTACTGGGATGCTGTTGTCCAAAGGCTATTGGCATTCCCTTGCTGTATGCCAAAATTAATCCCACATGTGTTTACAACCCAGCTGCAAATGCTTTTGTTCTGTTAATAAAGCTTGACCCTTTAGTCCAACTTTCCTGTGTGCAAGTCTTTACTCTGGGGTGGGGGTAGGAAGTGCATATGTCTTATGTTGTGAATTATCTTACAATGAACCATCATATTCACCCACTTGTTCAACTCCATTACTTCACTTGAATAAAACCAAAACAGAATTCAAACATTAAGAGGGTCATTCCAGAGTAAGCTCTCAAACCATTTACTGTGCAATCCTAAACATGTCTATTTAGTACTAAGTAGGCCTGTGCATAGGTCCCACAATCTGACCTGTGTGGCCTTGATCTGTATCCCCCAGATTGGGCCTATTTGCTCTGAGCTACCCCGGTGGCTACCTACCATACCCTGGATTCATTCCTGAAGCAATTCATGGAGCAGTGCTAAAATGCTAAAAACAAAACAAATAAATAGACAGGAAAGGATGGTTGCCACATCAGATCCTCCCACCTGGTAGCTTCTTCCCTATGAGCAGCTCTTTAATGAATGAGTCACTCATGAAGAAACAGCACCATGCAGGGTCAGAACCTCTTACTTAACTGATGTTAAGCAGAATGGTCCAACTTTACATGGTGCTGGAAGGAGAAGAACCTGGAGGGAAAGAGGAGGAGAACCTGGAGGGTGTATGTTACTTTCACTCATGTGTGCATTTCAATGCATTTTTATGCATGCTACTTGGCCGGGAGCTCCATTGCAAAATTTGAAGAAATACAAATTTCAAGGGATGCCAATGTTTGGATTCACATATTTTTCAGAATGTGTGAATTAGACGGGTTTGCCTTTAAATGTGAACTGAATTAATCCCCCCCCCCATCTCTGCTTTGAAACAAGACAATGGTTTTATGTCATAAAGCAATTCAATGCTATGATATACATCTTAGATAATTTTACTTAGAAGTCAGCCCTACTGGCCTCAGCGGGTCTTACTTCAAAATAAGTTTGTTTACAGGATTGCAACTTAACTATGCATTTAGAGTCTCTTATGAATCCATACAATATAATTCAGTATTGTCAACTGACCAAATATAGTTATTCCCCCCCCCATGACTACCCATTTTTCGCTATTGTAGCTTTCATTAGTGAAACTGTAGGTAATGAATTCCTTAGGCACCTCAAGTTAAAGTTGCCTGCACAACTGGCACCAATTAAATTGAGTATATAGTAATGAACTGGGAGTGTTTCTTTTCTTATTTTTGCAAATCTATAAGGCCACATGCTCTGTGGGATACACTGCACTTTTTTCTAACACTGGAAGGATGCGGCAGTCAAAACAATCAAATGCACCAATAGCACCTCAGAAGCGGTAGGAATTCCGATCCTTTAGCAAAATTATGAAAAATGCAATAAAAGCTCTAACTGTGTCCTAACTTAGACACGAATGGAGCATTATTTCCAGTAAGGTATGTTAATGCAGAAATGTGGAACTTATTAAATGACCTGTACAGTATATTTAATACATTTAGAATTTTGGTCTTCAGCATAACAGCAACCATGGGTTTAATAAGAGAGTGATATCTAGTTCACTAGAAATCATGATTTGAGAGTATTTTACATCAAACATTGAGTTTGTTCTGCTTAGTAAGCTACTAGAACTGGTTCAACATTTAGTTCTGAAGAACTTCTGTATGTCTAGATTGAAATAAGTGCTCAAAGTTGAAAAAATCAGCCACTTGTTTTTACCTATCAATGGGGTACATGGATCATTCATGTAGAGGCTCATGGTGCATACAGAGCTTGATGAGTATTGACTTTTATCAGGGTTAACTGTAAGCAGGACTTGCTGGTTACTCTTAAGGGCTTGCTAGAAGCTTCTGTGATGTGAGCCAAAGGTCAAGAACTGAAGGAATGTTGTCCTATCACTCTTTGCGTGAGGCTTGTGCACCCTATGAGGAGAAAGAAAGTCCAGTACACTCCTGCAAAGGGATTGTGGAAAGGAGTCGTCTTAAATATCCCACATGTAAGAAAGACACCATAGACAGTGTGGGTCTTCTATGAAACCTATTGCACCACCACTCCAAAAGCAACATAGAAGTAATCAGTTTCTCTCTTTGCGGGTGAAAAACTATGAAATAACTTGCAGCTTGGGAGTGTTTTGTTGAATGAGGAAGCCTCTTCTAAGAGAGAGCATGCCAACTGGCACAGGGCTGGTGTTAAGGAGCTATTCCTGATATTTTGAATAACTATGAGATTGCATTGAATTGCATTGTTTTGATGAATTGTTTTGTTTAAATTATTGTTTTTGATCTTATAGTCATCATAGTGATCATTTTTTAACACTCTTGTTACTGTGAGCCACTTTGAGCTTAACCTTTGTTGAAAAGCAGAATAAATATGATGTGGCTGAGTTCTGTGTACACCTATGGGATCCACATAACAATCTCTGCAGATGTTATTTTCAGGCTGAATGCAACAGAAGCATTGGCTACCATTGTCACAAAACATAGATGTAGCTCAGTGGCAGAGCATGCAGGAAGTCCCAGTTTCAACCCCTGGCATACCACCCATTCTGTGATTACTTTATGAATAGGCAACATGTGTTGTGAAAGACCTTTGAGACCCCAGAGAGCTGTTACCAGCTAGAATGAACCATACTCATCTAGATGGATCAGTGGTCTGAGTCAGTATGAGGCAGTTTCATAAGTTTGGAAATTCTGCAAAATTCAGTATTTTTTATTCACACCCAGTTACCAAAGTAGCAGGAACCAATAAGGTCCCACAATCAACTAAGTTAGCAAATAATACTATTGCAATTACAAGGTTAATTGATAAAACTACCCTTCATTAGAAGACACTTCCAAGCCAATCTCAACATGTTCATCGAGATATGAACATGCTAAGGTATGCTTTCTCAAATCAACTGATTATTTTTTTTGCCCAAATTCTATATATACAGTATGTGAAATATTAACCTTTATATGAGACTGATAATGTTTATTTTATGGATATATATCCTGTCTTTGAGAAGACATTCTCCCTCTTGAACTCTGCAATGTCTGGCTGACATTACATTGCATACATAGCCCATCCTCTGCTTCAAAGCTCATTCTCCCAAGAAGGTAGAAGCAAAGTTACAGACCCATGTCAAATAGAACATTTTGGTGGGTAACTCCTGTATTAAAGAGTTAGTTTTGCAACACCTGTGGGATTATTTCATCTAACCGCTTAATTTGCCATGTTTCTTACAGATTTCATCCATCTTTGAACTATTAAAAGATCCATGAACAGATTCGATTTTTTGAGAACTGTGTATATGGTTATCTTCACAAGTGTACTTCTGTTTCTGTTATTCATGCATAGTAAATGCAATGGGAACCCAGAACTGGAGGAACCAGACAGACTTTTCAGAATTCATTCTCTTGGGATTTAGTGATGTTCCTGAACTACAGTTAATTTTCTTTTTGATGTTTCTTCTGGTCTACACTGTGACCATGACTGGAAACCTTCTGATTGTTGTTCTTATCATATGTGACCAGCATCTCCATACCCCCATGTACTTCTTTCTGGGCAACCTTTCATGCCTGGAGAACTTCTACAGCTCAACCATAGTACCCAGGATGCTAGCAAGTTTCTTGACTGGAGAGAGGACAATTCCTATGTGGGGCTGTTTTTTACAATATTATTTCTTCGGCTCTCTTGTGGGTTCAGAATGTTATCTGCTGGCTGCTATGTCTTACGATCGGTATTTAGCAATTTGCAAGCCTCTTCACTATTCAGCCTTAATGAATCATACGTTGTGCATACAGATTATGATGGGATCGTGTGCAAGCTGTTTTCTACTTAACACTATAACAACATATTTGATGTCCCAGCTATCATTTTGTGGTCCTCGTATTCTTGATCATTTCTTCTGTGATTTCACCCCGGTTATAAAGCTTGCCTGTGGTGATACACAACAGATGGAATTAATGGCTTTCTTCCTCTC